GAAAAACAGTGCAGTAGTAAAAACAATAACATCTCCTTTTTAACATACTGTATCATTTAATTAATTCAACAACATTTTTTATCGGCTTTATTGTTGATTTAGAATTAAAATTAATTCAGCATATTTGTTTTCGGCCAATTGGGAAACACTGCTCTATCCGGAATAGGACTAGCGAATCAAATCCAGACAGCCGTAGTCACGTGGGTTGTTTCCTCGTGATGTCGACGTGTAGAGAAACAATTGGCCTTCCTCGTACTATTTACATTGCATTCACTGTAGCGTAGGAAATGTCAATTTTTTAACAACAGCGCAGTGAGTTACGCGCAGGTGTGCGCCAGCTTACTTTACATGGCAAGGTGGTGAAATACAACGATACTTTTAATATGTAACAAGCTACTCTCGTCAACAGTGAAACAATAAGCAAAACGTTTCCGAATAACGAGCTTTAGAATATTTATCAATACTCAAAAATCAGATTGTCCCGTTTCGGTAATAAGTTTTAATTTAAAACAAAGGTGATTGAATACGTTAATGTGGAGGCCATTTTTATCTAAACCCTCAAGTTATCAACTTGTTTACCGTTGGGGGTCCAAAAACTACACCATACCGCGTAATGTTACAAATGGACCAAACTCGGTAAAATCCCTGATCTTCTACATAAAATAGAAGCACGTGAGTGTGAGGGGGTTATATCCTGGCCTGTTTTACCCCATACGTTGCACAAGGTGCCGTTATGACTGAAAATACAAAATACTGATCGAGTAATTAGTTTAATAATAAAGATATTACGATGAAATTCACACTTTAAAATAATACTGGATTGTAACAAAGAACGTAAGTGTGGTTAGTATACGAGCGTAGGGTTTACCATTAGGGTTAAGATACGAGTACAGAGTATGTTGATACGATCACCACTAGTATAAAGTATACTGACGCGGTTACTGAGAGTGTATAGTATAACGATCAGGTCACACACGTGCATAAAATAAGTCGAGAGCTGAGGCTTCTTCTGGCTAGCATAGCCAGAAAACAAGTCGGCTGAGAGAGTCCAGACTCAATATCCTAACAACAATTACAAACACGATTCATCGTTTCTTCTGCCCTATCATTTTCATTTAATGCGTTGCTCGAAACGTCCCAAAATGCGCAGTTCGTTTTATATTTCTTTGTTATTTCGTATTTTATTGGTGATATTTTAAGAATATTTAAAAATACGTTTTAGCCTTTTTTTTTTTTTTATACGCGAACGATTTTCAGGTTTAATTTGTTCGGTAAGAAATATTTATATGAACCTTTTATCGATCTTAAAAGAAAATCTTATTAAAATAGAGACAGCTCCTGTGCTAAATATCATAAAATATTTAAAGATCTACGTATCTGAATTTACATACGAGCTGTAATGGTGAGAAAATTTCAGAAATTTTTAAAACAAGCAAGACCATTCTTTACCCCTTTGGGGAATGTTTTGTTCTGTTGTTCATCAAACAAGACTAGAACACAACTTACCTGAAAATCCAACGCAAAACTTATCTAATAATCCAACCAGGTTCATAAATCTTTTCTGTTGTTCATCAAACAAGACTAGAACACAACTTATTTTTCGGGAAGTCTTGTGAACCTGGTTGGATTATCAGATAAATTTTGGGAATGTTTTGTTCTTGTGTTAGAGTCTTGTTTGATGTACAATCGATATATTTTAACGAGATTGTTAATTGTCGAAATACAAGACGTATGAAGCTAAGTAAATCGCCAGCTTTTAGCTAAGTACCAAATACAAGACGTATGAAGCTAAGTAAATCCTTAGTTTTTAGTTAAGAACCAAATACAGGATGTACGGAGCTAGGTAAATCCTTAGTTTTTAGCTAAGTACCAAATACAAGACGTATGAAGCTAAGTAAATCGTCAGTTTTTAGTTAAGAACCAAATACAAGATGTACGGAGCTAAGTAAATCCTCAGTTTTTAGCTAAGTACCAAATACAAGACGTATGAAGCTAAGTAAATCGTCAGTTTTTAGTTAAGTAC